GCCAGATTTTTTCCGCAGTCTCTTATCATAGTTAAGATCCATGCCGTTGCTACTTTTAGCTATGAACCAAAGAAACACCTTTCAACATTCACACTTCAATGTCAAAACAGACAACTAACGACTGTTTTGAAACAAAAGTCAACTAACGACTAGTGTTCGGCAAAATCAAATATACGTCAAACCTTTAAAGATTTGAATTTGAACTGTTCTTTGAGGGGATAGATTTGAATTTGATTTGACAAATATCTGGAGGATTTGGATTTGATTTTCAAATATTCACTTTGTTCTCAATTTTTGCGTTTGAAAAAAAAACGCCAAATTTTACAGGCCCGCAAACATATATATCACTTTATTCCGGGGTCTTTGCAGTGGTTTCCGGAATGGCGGTCGCCTTTCAATAACGGAAAAAAAAAAAAAAAAGAGTTTTTAATTAAAGTTTGTTAATATTAAAGAGAAAGTAAAGAGCATAGAGAAAGAAAAAAAGAAAAGAAATGTAAACAAAGTACAAGATTAAAAGAAAAAACGTAGAAAAAAATATATGTAAAAATGAAAAGAAAAAATTGCAAATACAATTTCACCACAATAAAAATGGAAAAAGTAAAACAATAACGAATCGAAAAACATTCAGAGAAAGAAACAATCATTCGAAAAAAGAAAATAATAAAAAAATATAATAATGGCTTGCTTGAAAGCAAAGAATTTTTTTTTTTAATTTTACTAAAACTTATTTTTATATTTCCAGGTTTCAGGTAGATTTCCTAATTTATTTATTTGTTAATCTTTTTTTTGTCGGTTTAAGTTTGCCGTTTTGTTTGTAGTATGTTTGTGAAAACTTGTGTTGTTGTTGCTATTGTGTTTGTATTGTTTGCTGTTACTGTAGCTGTTTTTGTAAATTTGATCTGTTTATGTATGTTTTTTTTTTTTTTTTTTAAACTATATTATGATTATTTCTATTTTAATATTTGTTATTCTTATTTTCATTAATTATTTTTCCTTGTTTTTCATTATAATAGTTGCTATATGTCATTGTTTACTTTTACGTTTTATTAGTTGTAACTGTTTGTAACTGTCTAACTTTGTTTATGTAGCTATTGTATTTATAAAGACAAGTGACTTATATATAATTATTATTATTGTTATCATTATTATTAATATTATTTTTATTATTTAAACCATTATTATTTTAATCATTTTCATTAGGTGTTTACTTAATATTAGTATATTTAGTATTTGTAAACAACCTTGAAATGTATCTATTTCAGAAATATATATTGATTGATTGAATGATTAATTAGTACCCCTAACCAAACTATTGTTTTGAAAGAAATCAAATATACATTCCTAATTATGTCGGATAATCCAGAACCCGAATCTTCTTCTGTTACAAAAACCACCAAACGTTCACAATCAATTGTATGGGATCATTTCACAGTTGATGAGCATGACAAAACCAAGGCCATATGCCAGCATTGTCCAAAGCACAAGAACAAGTATGCTTACAATAAAGGTGGGACAACAAATCTAATGAACCATTTAAATTGCTTTACTATCTGCACTGTCCTGGACCCAAGATTTGGTATTGAATATTACAAAAATGATAAGGGGGCAAACAGCGAGTCGTATACAAAGATTATGGACACAGTCAATTGTGAATATCAAATCAATTATGCCCCAAGCAATATTACAACTGCTACAAGCATTCAAAACGTTTCAAAATATACCCCGTTCAAATCGCGTGTTTCATCAAACCCATGTAATGAGTTTGAAAACTATTGTAATGATACAAGTAAGCTAGATGGCGGCATTAATAGCAACATATTACTTTGGTGGAAATCTCGATCTGACAAATATCCAAACCTATCCAGAATGGCCAGAGATTACCTGGCCATTCCTGCTACATCTGTATCATCAGAAAGGCTCTTCTCATTAGGAAAAAATCTTATTACTGACAAAAGAAATCTTCTCTCTGCAGATACCATTCAAGCTTGCCAGTGCTTGAAGTCTTGGTTGGATTAAAAAGAATAAAAGAAGCTGTAATGTGTGAGAAATAGTAACAAATGCTGTAATATGAATAAAATTTATAGATTCAGATAACTAAAATTAATAAATGAAATAAGTTAAATAACGTTCAAATATACATCAAATCTTGGAAAGATTTGAATTTGATCTAAATTCAAAATAGGAAGATTTGAATTTGGCCATTTCAAACATTTGACGCATATTTGATCAAACTATTTGAATTTGTGCCGAACACTACTAACGACTGTTTTGACTTACCAATAGATCTTTTTACTTGAGTCATAATTAAGACAGCGACTTTTATTGACAACAACAGATTTAGCTGACATCTTTAACAAATATATCTAAATATATCGTAAAAATAAATGTGCTAGATAATTTTCCAGCATTTTATAATGTTTAACATAATGTTTGATGACGTTTAACACAAATTCACAATTAATAAAAAAATAAGCAATAAAGTGATAATCACACATTTATTTAACTGCATCTTGAAGAATATAAAAACAGTTTCTCCTTTTTCGTTTCTTGTTTAAGAGCATTTAACTCTTATTAGGAAAAGTTATCTAATGCAAAATATTGTATGTTTTTTATATGATCATTGGATGCTGTATAACTAAATAATTTCTTTTAGTTAGAAAGTCGTTAGATGGATGCTTTACAACTAAATAACTTCATTAGATACTCTTTAGTCTTTAACCCAATAAGGAGGTGGGAGGGTGGTGAATTAAATTTTTTTAATTCAAATTCATGATCACAATGTTTTTGCAGTGATTTTAAACGTAATAAATCCTGTACTTTGAGACTTTTCTTTTGGCTGTTTTCCAAAAATCGAACTTTGCTGATTGTTCAATTATCACTCAAAAATTCCGCTCTTTGCTTCATACAACTTGCAAAGTTGTCTTAGCGACTAGGTGATTAGATGATTTTTTAATGATTTTTGAGTTTAGTTGAATAATACTTACCATTAAAACTTTTAAGACATTAAGTTGATGTATCATCTAATGTCTTGCGTAACTTACATGCAAAGCTGAATATTACGTACTTGAGTTTTGCAGTTACTATTATTGATCATATTTCAAGGTCACTAGTTTCAAGGTCATTAGTTTCAAAATCATTAGTTTCAAGGAATTAATATACAAATGTCACACTTACTATTATTGCTGTTTATTATTTCTTTACCAAAAATGTACTTTCAGCGAAAATGTCATTGAAGAGAAACTTCTCTAAGTGTTTTGTAATTTAGCGCCTATTTTTTGCTTCTGTATTTATATCACTCTGATATAGTGGTTTTTTTCTAGGCAACAATATTTATCTTGTTATATTCTGTTGCTTTTTTTTGTTTTGTTTTTTACTCAAATATTTTTCTTTTTATTTATTTTAACTTTTTTATTTCCACATATTTTTTTATTTCGCGTTTAAAAACAATTAGGATCTTTAATCTTTAAATAATAAAATTGATAACCACAGATAACTTAAAAGTTATAAACCAATTTATAATTTTAGTTTAAAAAAATGACTAAGCATAAAGTTTATAACATTTATAAAAAACACTTGATAGTATTATGTACAAAAGTGGCAATAAAAAAGTATAATTGTTGCTCAAATTGAAGTAAGTATACACAATTTATGTACAAATGTATATATCAGAGCTGGGCGGTAGCGCGACTCCGTCCGCTACTTCGCAACCCTGGTAGCGGAGTTGCAAAAATATGGTGACAGACTAAATTTGCTTACCAAAAAAAATCTAAAGCTTTACTCAGCTACCATTTAAATTTAGAAATACCATTTAAAGTTATTTACGTTATAGTTTTTCTATTACCAAAAATGAAGTGAAGGAAAAATGAATCTCTCAAAATATCAAATTTTTCTTACGTAATACGAAATTTCAAACGTAAAAAATGTTTTTTACGTTTGAAATTTCTTCGCCGAAAAAAATGCTCGTTTTCATTACTTTCAGTTTTTCAAAATATTTTTGTTTAACAGAAAGTTTCATTTAGTTGTAGTTTTTATTCTAAGAAATAACTTTGAAAAGTAAAGTGTCAAAATATTAAAAGAAACCCAATTAGGTAAGCTGTTTGCAGACGTGATGTCCGACCTGCATTAGGAGTTTAGTATAAACGGGAGAGTGCGTAGAAGTAATTTATTTCAGAAACTGTCAACAAAAAACTGTTTTTTGGTTCAGAAAATATTTTGCAAATTTAAAAGTTTTATAGTCAATTAAAATTGGGTACTTTAACTTAACTTTTTTTTGGTATTTCAACTTAACTCCTCAGGTTGATGCAACAACTACAAAAAATGGTTCTTAGTGTCTTTAAACAGTTTAATTTAGTCAAGTAGAAAAAACAGAGAGAGAGAAGATATATCTTAAACTAGTCAACTCGACGTCTTTCTTTCTGGATTAAATTTCTAGAAAGATGCAATGATGATATCATTCCATCGAGGTACCGTAGTTGTGTAGCTCAGACAAAAAACTTGCTGGCTTGTAAGAAAATCTAGATATTGCCATTTTTGAATTTGATTACCAGGCCATTATTTTTAAATTTTTTTTTAGTAGCGGACTAGTAAATTTATTTTAGTAGCGGATTAGTCTGAAAAGTAGCGGAAGAGCGGCAGCAGTTTCCTTAAAAGGTGGCAAAAAGTAGGGGTTGCGCTTTCAATTATTTGGTAGCGATGTCCAGCTCTGGTATATATATATATATATATATATATATATATATATATATATATATATATATATATATATATATATATATATATATATATATATATATATATATATATATATATATATATATATATATATATATATATATATATATATATATATAAATATATATATATATATATATATATATATATAAATATATATATATATATATATATATATATATATATATATATATATATATATATATATATATATATATATATATATAAATTATTAAATATATAGTATATTATGAAATAGAACTTCTTACCGGTTTGCATTATTACGTTCTCTTCCTTGCTCATCAAGTCTGTTGTTGCTCCCTCTAAATAAAAACACAAATAAATAAGTTATATCTGCACCAGAATATATGCAGCAAGAACCATAATGTGTTATATATGGTAAAACAACACTGGATTTAAAAATAAAAAGAATTTTTAAGGGTGCCTCAAGACTCTTTAACATTTAGTGGGTCCCTAACATTAATAAAAAAGTTTTTCAAAAGTATGTTAAATAAATAATAATCATTTTATGAAAAAAGTTATTATTTTAAACTTTACTACATAGCAATTAAAGCTTTTTAAATAAAAATGTAAAAAAAAATTTTTTTCAAGGTTTTTTATAAAACCATTATTGTTTTTGAAATTTTTATTTGAGATTCAACAGGACATACTTGTGAAAAACTTTCAAAATAATATTAGAAAACCATTAAATGTTTAAGGGTCTTTAGACACCTAAAAGTATTTTTTATTCAAAAAACTTATAAATTCAGTATTATTTACCATATAAAAATTTTATTTTTTTATTTTGTATAGCAGAATCAGGTTTTCCAGATGATTGTCGGTGAATGTGAACTTGTACTCAGAGCCGGGGCTAAGCTTTCCCAAATACCCCATTGGGGTAGGGGGAAGGGCCTGGCAAGTTTAGGGGACCCATTTACGAATTTATGGGCTTTTTGCAAATTTAAGGAGCCTTTTAATTATTATTTTTTTAAACAATACCTAGCGGAAATATTTTTGATTTTTTGGGGTCCTAATGACTGGTTTTGAGGAGGGGGTGTCTAGCCGACTCACTAGCCACTGCATTTTTTGTACTTGTTCTTAATAAAGTTCATTGATGAAAATGTTTTTTTCACAAATGTAAGTTGAATCAAATTTGTAGCCAAATCAAAGTGCAATGTCAATAAGTTATGGAAAATCAGATTTGATTTCCAGAATTTTTTGAAGTCAAAGGAAATTGAATTTTTTCTTAAACTTCGCCTTTAGACCCGTGTGTTCTTGAATAATGGTGATTTTTATTTGACTTTTATGTCTTAAGTTGACAGGAGATCTTGCATGACATTAAACTTTTCATATAAGATTTGTTCAACAAGTAGTTTAACATAGTCAGTTGAATTACAACTTTCATCTATATAAATTTAAAAGCAAATTAAAAAAGAATTAAAATCTTCTCTACTTATCTTTTCAATATGTTCCGAGAAAGGGCAATGTTTTGGGACAACAACTTAATTTTATTGTCTCCCACATTTTCAGCAAAAAAAAAGACTTTTCCTTTTTAAGCAAAGAGAAGTGTAGTCCGAAAAGTCCGCATTTCATAACTTTTCATAATAATTTTTTTTTGTTTGATTTGCAATTTGATTCTTCTGTTCGAAAACTTTTCCTGCACTTAGATCTAGCTAGGTTTTTTTTCTTGAAATCCGTGCGCATTTTAGTGAAATGTATTTTTTGTGCAAATTATATCTTTTTAACTGTATAATTTTTTCAAGGCAAAAAAGACTGGTTTTGATGACGGTGTTTGTATAAATAAAAGTTATTCTTCCCATTCATCTCAGAAACAAGGCTGTGATGATAATTCACTTTCCATTTTTCTTTTTAAATTTGACCTTTTGACACTTTAAATATTTTGTAATTTCAAGGAACACTTTTCACTTATTTTTTCTGTTTTATACTAAAAAATGTTATTTTGCTTCATTTGGAATTTGGTACCTACTGATAAAAACTAATTTTGATTAAAAAATAATTTTGAAATTTGATTTTGTCACTTTGAAATTAAATAACTAGAAAATTTAGTTTTGAAAAAATGTGTTAGAAGAAAAAAAAATTTGTTAGTTCGAAGAAGCTTGCAGGAAAATCTCCTCTGGCATAACACACCAAGAGCCAAAGATATAGAACAGCTTTAAAAATTGCCATTTAAATTACACAGCTAAATAGTTAATTTAAATAGCTAAAAAAAAAGCTAAATAGTTAAGAAATAAATTGCGGGGTAGGAAATTTTTTTCTTAAAACAAGAAGTATATTTCATGTTTTAAGAAATAAATTGTAGGGTAGAAAACATTTTTCTTAAAAAAAGAAATGTTTTTCTTGCTTTAGGATTCACAGGAAAATCGTAAATCCATTTCGGAATCGAACGGCAGCATTGAAATTTTATATATGCACTGTTTTAAAAAACCTAATTTTTTATATATAAAAGAATTTATTTATTGTCTTTTAATCTTTACATTTAAGGGAGATAATCAACTAAATGATTATAAAAAGACTTACTTCTATTTTGTTGCTCTATTTTACTTTGATTTTATTTTCTTTGCTTTATATATAATTAAATATTTTTATTTCCTCATACTTTAACTGAGTTTTACATAATTTTTATAATTTTTTAATCTTGCTTTACACTTTTAAAGCCCGAGGTTTATGAGAAGGTTACAGTGACTGCCTTTTGTTTGTTTCTATTTATAGAAATCTCTATTTTTGTAAAAGCATTTCTTTGCATTTTATTATTTGTGAACAGTGAAATATTTACTACATAAAAATTTAATAAAAAAGTAGATGAGCAGAGCAATCAAGTCAAATTGGCGCTCAAGCTTTATAACAAGTTGTCTCGTTAAACAAGATAAATTACTTTAAAAGTTTTTCCGTTTATCATCATTCTTTTTTTCCTTTTTCAACGTAAACGAGTTTCTTTTATGAAATGCTTCAGTTTCAGCATTTTGAAGCACATTTTTAGCTATAAACACATGAAGTTTTGAGTTTTCTCTGACTGTTTTGTATTTCTTTCTTTTAAACTGTGATTTGTCTTTATCTTTGTAGATTTATGGAAAGTATTATCTCTGCCACCTCCAGGCTTCCTTTTAAGTTGTCTTGACTTAATTATAAACCTATAATCCTAGGTTTTGTTTACAAATAAAGCCTTCTTAATGCACTTCATTTTTTTTCAAACGTTTCGCAAACTTTTAATTTATAAACCCAATTAAAGATAAGAAAATAAAGTTTAACTAAAAAACTGTTTACAATAAAAACTTTTATGGTTTTAGAGAAACCACTGTTTAAAGTTGACCGGATTACATTTAAAGTTGACCGGATTACATTTTAGCTTTATGAGGATATAATCATTACATGGCTTACTTTTAACGTCTTTTGAAAAAGAATTTGAGTTACTCTTAAGTCGTTAGTATATCAGCTAATACTTTTTTCCAGACGAATACAATATTTCTTGAGCTCTAGCGGCTTCAAATTGGTCAAAACGATTAGTTTGACAAGTATGTGTAATTTTCAATTTTTAATGCTCTTCACTATTTTTCAATTTTTACAAAACGTAGATAAAAAGGAGAATATTAGGCACCGTTTTTTTTTTCATATGAACAATCAGCAACAAATCAATAAATGGAAACTACTAAGAGTTTCCATGTTCCATCTATTGATATGTTACAATTAATAATGTCAGAAAAAAATAATGTCAGAAGCATTTTTGATAATAATCAAAATCAGAACAGTTAATATTAATCAGAAAAATAATTAATCAATAATCAGAACAATTAATAATAATCAGAGGCATTTAAATTAAAAGGTGCTATTAGTTTTGTTACAGCAGCTTTCATTCTCTCATAAATTAATATGCCTCCATTTCTTACAAATCACAATTATAATTTGTAAGAAATCGAGGCATATTAATTATGGTATTAAAAGTACGCATTGCTTCTCCACCAAGTCCAACTTTATGAAATGTCATTATAGCACGTAAATTTACTTCATACCCAAAGAGCACAATACCTTGAAGCAATACTCACCGAAAACAATTCTGACGTCATTTTAACGTTGGCCCAACGCAGTTAGCTGCTAGGGTATGATTTCTATTTTAAGTCAAACTGTGATTTATAAATAGAGATAATTCTAATACGTTTTACATATGTACATTTAGATTCGTTAGCCAAAAAAGCTATCAAAAGTTTGCAATATGTAATAATATTATGTATTACTCATTCGTATTTATACATAACAGATACAGACTTATATTTATGTTATAGTTAGCAAAAATAATATGCAGTACCGTTGCTATTAAGTCAGGCTAGGCAAGCCTTCTCCCCTTCGCCCGATTGGGGTGTGTGGACTAGCCTAGCCATGGCTCTGACAATATGGTAATAGTAAATTAAGACAAAACTAAAATTTAAATTTTTTTTGGCTTTGTCTCAACTAACTTAAAAATCTTTTGTCTCAATTAGTTAATCTTAATGTCTATAAAATAGTTAATCTTCATGTCTATAAAATTTGTATTTTATCTGCGCAACAGGATTTAGGTGGTAAATGCAACAATTGTTAATATAAAGCAAGTAAGCTATTTAATTTACTTTGTTTTGTCTTATTTTTTATTGACATTAAAACAATAGTAATAATATTACAGCAGGATGTTTTTAAAATTAGAATAAATGTTTCACATAATTCGAATAATCCAAAATGTTTTGCACAATTTTGACTTTAAGACCTTTTGAATTTCTCCCTAAATAACACTTTCTTTAAAAATTATGGCATTTATTGAAACAAAAAGTTGTTGAATTGAGTTATTTAACTAAAAAAATACATATATATTTTTTTTAAATCGCGGTGTTTCAACTAACTATTGTTTCAGGTAGCCCTTGTTTGAATTATTTGATCAATTTGCACCATATGCTCTTTGCCAATTGCAAGTAAAAAACACCGCGGGTGATTATGACTGAGCTAAAAATAAGTTTTTCGAATATGAATTAGAAGTGCAGATAATGTCCGATATTTGAATAAAATTAAATAAAAATAAATCTATATTGAAACGCAGGTATTTAAATTTGTGCAATTTATTTTGACAGACTTTCAGTTGCATTTATGTACTACTTAAAGAACACGATTTGATAATTTATGTTTTTGCTTAAAAAATAAAAAGATGATACTGTATACGGTTTTAAATAAGTACAATAATCAATTTAATATATAAATTATTAGTATCAAGGAAAACCAACTGTGGCTAACAAACATTGTTTAAACTATTTGAAACAAATTGTTGAAGAATGTAATTGAACTTTATTACGAAATGCCAATTTCAGTATGCTGTTACAATATGTTGATAGCAGCATATCGCATCTTTGTTACTAACTATATGTAATGACAAGTTTATACCTAGTTCATGGCTACTAATTATAATTTTTTAACTAAGCATACTAATCTAACATACTAATTACTACATACTGTAGCTTTGAAGCTAATTACAACGAACCAACAAGTGTGTATTAAATTTATAGCTACATATAGTAGGTTTATAGCAATAACTATCAGTGAAGGATCCAGGTAAGGGGTTTGCATCCCCCCCCCCGAGTTTGAAAGCCCTAAAAAATCTTAGAAATAAAGGACCTTTTTTTTTTTAAGAAAGCACAAATATGGTACAAAATTTAAAATAATTTCAACATCCGCCCCTCCCCCATCATCTCCAAAAAAAAATTTTCCTGCGTTCGTCAATGATAATTATAGCTGTTTTAGAAAGTTAAAACCACAAATAGAAAATGAAATGTTAGTGTGAGATCAACCGTTGTATTAAGTTATTATTTGGTGTCGTCTGCAACTGAATAAATAAAAATGGTAATTGTAATTAAAAATTAATTCAATAAATAATTTAGCTTATGGAGTATGAAATATTGTAGGAGGTTGGAAATAATACCGTCATTTATTCATTGGTTTTATATAGTTAGTAAACTCGCTAATTTTTAGTAACAAAGAGGTTTCAATAAATGTAAACTAACATTCGTGTAGTGTAAACATTTAATATAACTACCAAAATTCATTGTCAAATTATTGTCTTTAAAGTAAAATCGATGTTTTTATAGTAACAAATTGTCACTAATTAGTTACTGTGTAGCTAAGTAACCTTCGAAACCTAATTGTCGTCTAAACCGTTACAAATGTCGCTAGCTAGATGCTACCCGAATATATATATATATATATATATATATATATATATATATATATATATATATATATATATATATATATATATATATATATATATATATATATATATATATATATATATATATATATATATACATATATATATATATATATATATATATATATATATATATATATATATATATATATATATATATATATATATATATATATTTATATATACTAAAATTTTCAAAAAATGTCAAAGGTTTTGCAATTCTTTTATAAATGCAAAGATAAAGTTTCTTTCTATGAAATGACTATACAAGGCATGATACAAAAATTAAAAAGAAATATTAAAATGTTACCTTGGGTTGTGTAGATAAACATCTGATTGTACCAGTGTGCACAGCACTACCAGCAACAATTTAAACAACATTGCGTTGATCTTGTTTAAAATCTTTGCAAGTTCTTTATATTTGTTTGACTACTACTTCGCTGTCTTGATATCAACTAAACAGATGCTACTTTTTTAAACTTATATACAAGTTTAAAGGATTATATATATATATATAGAAAGTTTAATTCAAACTATGAAAATGCTAAAAAATGCCATTGTTTATTTGAAATATTTAAATAAAATACTCGTTTGTTAAGTGAATAAAAATATTTGCGTGGTGATAAGTAAATGGCATCAGGATATTACATTATTAATCTAAACCAGTGTGAAATTTTTTATTCAATATATTTTGGGTGTACAAAGAGAACTCCACCTTTTATCAAAATTGAAATATTACCGATTGATTTATTTTTTATTACTGTAGCTGTTTTTATTTTTATATAATTTGTTTTTATTTTTAATATACTTTTTTTTCAATAGGCCGGGTGAATAAAAAAGAGCAATTGCTTTTACTCAGCGGTTTTGGAGTAATTGCTCAAGTTTACGTGAATAAAAATTTAGAGCAATTGCTTTTTTTTCCGCGAAAGCTTTTACTCATGAGCTTTTGCTTATTTAGCAATTTATATTTAGCGATTGCTCTCATATGAGAAAAGTGCGTGAATAAAAAAGCTACAACTCAAAAAACGGCGAGCAATTGCTTCTAATTTTACAAGCACCTATAATAGTTGCTTTTTTTTTTTTTGATAATTGGACATTTTATTATTTTACTTATATATTTTACTATTTTTTGACTATATATATATATATATATATATATATATATATATATATATATATATATATATATATATATATATATATATATATATATATATATATATATATATATATATATATATATATATATATATATATATATATATATATATATATATATATATATATATATATATATATAAGAAAGGCACCACCAACAGCTTCAAACGAATACCATAAATTATTTCGATTTACGGATGATAACGTTACGTGGATGGCAAAACACTTTTTGGATGTAAGTGATGAAACTTGGGGAGGATCACTAACAACCAAGCAAAGAATGGAAGTTACACTACGTTATTTAGCAAACCCTGGCTTCCAAACTGAAATTTCAAACGAAACTGGGATTTATCGCAGTACTGTTTCAAAAACTGTTGCTTTGACACTTCAAAAAGTTTTGACGTTTTAAAATGTTGAAAATGTAATGCATGGTAAAAAAATTAATTTAAGTAAATTTAAAACTTTTGTACATTTAACAGTAATCAAAATTTATTTTCACGTTTTTATGTTTTTTATTTCCATCAACGTTAATGTCAACAACAATATCTATCTCTTCTTCATTTATATGGTGGGGAGTAGTATATTTTAACTTTAAACTTTTCAACCGATAGTATTTTAGCTGCTCCAGCATGACCACACGCTGAAGCTCTGTATTTGCCCATTTTATAGTTTCTTTAGTTTCACCAGGTAGTTTTAATCTTTTTGGAATTAATCTCGATGCTTGAGAAGATGTGTTTCCTGAGAAAAAAAAATCAATTTTGGTAGATTATATATATATATATATATATATATATATATATATATATATATATATATATATATATATATATATATATATATATATATATATATATATATATATATATATATATATATATATATATATATATATATATATATATATATATATATATATATTATATATATATATATATATATACATATATATATAATATGTACGTATATAAATAAGTTGTCTTTACTAACGATCAATTTGTGTGAAGGTAGGATTCTTTTCTGTATCTAAAAGATTTGCAAGTTTGACTTCACTCGCTGAAAGTTTTATAGGCTTGTTTCCAGTTCGATGGATGTCAGACTTTTTTTTTAACCTTGTCTTCATGTTGGCAATCTTTCTCGCCAATGTTTTTGTATCAATTTTTGTTCCTGTTGCTTGGAACATTTGGTCTTGCATTTTTAAAAATGTTTTGTTTTTCTTTATTTTAACGTTTGGAACTTGGCTTTTTTGTAAAAGTATTGGCAATTCGCACAGTATGTTTATAAAAACTTCATCTTCACATTTGTTAAAACTTTGGCTAGCTATATTATTTTCACTTGATTCAATTGAAATCTGGTTTGAAGAAGCCATTTTTAAATATTAAAAGTTAAAAAAGCTACTTATATCGGCAACGGCATATAGCTTTTACTCCGACACAAAAGCAATTGCTTGCGAGCATTAGCAAAACTTTATTCACACATATTTGAGCAATTGCTATTACGGCGAGCATTTGCTTTTAGCTTCTACTTATACTCAGAGCAATTGCTTGTGAGCAATTGCTCTTTTTTATTCAGCCGGCCCAATTTCTTTGCATCTTTTAATATTCGGGGCCTTAGTTTGAAATAAAATACTTTTCTAAAGTAACTCTGAAGAAAAACTCTTCGTCTAGTGACATAGAAAGCCTCCTGCCTTAAAATAGCCCCGGGCCCCGAAAACTCTTAATCCACCACTGTTATGCTGTTATTAAATTTATAAAAACATGAATTATTATTATTAACTTGAAAATAATAATATTTAAAATAGTATTAAAAAATACTTTTATCAAAATTATTAATATAAACCAAAAGTCAACAACAAGTATTTTTTTGCAATTTAAAATACGGCTGTATTTTAAAATTGTCCTACTTTAACTGGATATAGCAAGTAAAACAAGGATACTCAAAAACCATTGTTTGTCAATTATGCATATATAACAATAAAATTTGAACTTAAAAGAAAAGAAAAAACCATTCTGCAAAAGAAACACACTCAGTATGCATAGAAATAAATAGTACAGGTAAGTCTATTAACTTTTTAATTATATTAACTGCCATGTGGCAATCAAAATAACTATATTGTGCAACTTTACAAGTAAGCATTACATTAAGAACAACTAAATAGTTAAAAATAAAAATTTCAGGTACATTTTATTAATCCAGGAAAAAAAAAAAATTTTTAAACTTATCTTAAAGTGTTTTTTATTTTACACTTTAAAAGCCGGTTATAAATTTTAAAAGTCCAATTAATTTTATTGTAAATTGATGCAGCTTTTAAGTAATTCATCTAGACATGCGGCTTTCAATATTTGCGCATGGACTTGCGCACGTGATGGTATTTGATTTGTCGACAATAATTTGATACATTTTACCATCCTTTAATATTCTAAGGTTATTTTGTTATATTTATAAATAATAAATATAACGGGAAACAGACAAATAACCGAAAAACAAAATCCGATTTATAGCCGAATGAACAAATTCCGTATTATAGTCGAAAAAAAATAAGATTTTGGCACGTTCTACAAACAGTCGACGAAAAACACGATTTTGACGTAGTCTGTGATATAGTCGAATGACGTATTTTGTTTTTAAACAAACTATGACGAGGTTTGACAACTACCCGAATTGATAATTTTGTCAAATACAGTCAAATAATCGAAATAAAACCTGTTCCGATAACCAGTCGAATTTGTGTATTGTCATAAATCATTTCTAACCGAATTTATTTGGACAAACATTTATAAATCGTCGAAAAATGAAATTCGACTATTTGTCATGACGTGTTCTGATAAATAATCGAACTGTTTTATTTTGACCAAGTCTGTTAACCAGTCGAAATTAATATTCGGCTATTCTCTGTGGCTGCCACATAAACCAGTCGACGGCTATAAAAATTTGGCAGCGTCATCAAAAGAGCCGAATTTAATTAAACCCCTCCAAACCATCGTATTTCGACTATAACTTGTACGTATTTTGAGTCGAAATTATACTTCAGTTCTAGTGAAACTACTCCGGATTGTGAGAATATTCACGATCCTAAACCTTTGTAAAAAAATAAGACGTGATTGACAGTTAAAACAAATGTTTGTATTTCAAAAAAAACCTCAACATGATGAGGAAAAAAAATTGATTATCACAAGGGTCTCATTCTCATACGTATATAAAAAAAACCTCATTCCGAAATTAGGAAAAAAAGTTCACGGGTCTCATACTTTCTCATACTTCACAAAGGTCTCATACGTATACAAAAAAAACCTCAGAAATGAGGAAAAAAAATTCCAAGGGTCTCATTCACTTCATTCACACATGCATGCATCTTGTATCTGTTGTTTTATCCGTTCCAGAACGAATATCCTCCATCCTGATTATCGAATCCAGACACGAACAAACGATCGGGCACCTCAAATTGTCGACACGATTTAGACCTGAAATATTTAGGAAAAGTTGTTTAATTGTTATGTAACTAACTAAAGATGCAAACGTTTAAACGCAATATTACTTTTTTTAAATGTTCAATTACTGTAATACTGTAATATTGACTACTAATGTAATTGGAAAATAGAACGTTGTGCGTTACCTCAACCAATTAAAGTCTGGATGAGAGGAGAGACGTTTCCGGGTCCAATTGAGCGGGTCCAATCGAACGGGTCCAATCGAACGCGTTGAATGATGATCTGAAACCGAATTTTAAAAGTATTAAGTTTTAGAATATTGGTTCAGAGATACACGGGACCCATGTAAACAGTGTCTATTCACAAAATGTCTTCAGTATTAATAACTGGTAGTATTTACCTCTTATTTTTTTTGATTTTTCATTGGAAGAAGGAGGTAGAAGTGAGCCACAGTGAAGTGAAGATCCGGATTAGCCTGCAACAAAATAATGTAAAATTCTACCAATCCGATTGATGATTAGCATTATAACACGAACAAAGAATCAAAGAAAAACCATCAAGTAATACTAAATTGCAACTAATAAGTATGATGATTATAATTAAACCAATAAGTTTGATGAATAACATTATAAGATCGTGAATATTATCTCAATCTTTGAAAATTTCTATCAAATTATGTTAAAAATTACCGGTTAAAAGGTTGTAGAGCGTGCGTACTGCGGCTTTACGAAGTTATTCTACGTTTTAATTAACATCTTACAATCTTTTTTGGGTTTTTTGCTTTTTATAATTTTTTTGGATTTTGTATTTTTAAATTTTTTTAGATTTTGTATTTTAAATTGTTTTTGGATTTTGTATTTTTAAATTGTTTTTGGTTTTTGAGTTTTTTGAATTGAATGGAAAAAAATAAACAAAGGGAAAATGATTGAAAAAGAAGCGAATGAAAAGAAGAAATGAAATAAATTTAATTGAAAATAGAATTTGCGGGGGCGAAATCTGCGGCATCAGGTAAATATGCGGCAAGTAAATATGCGGCAAGATGTTCCCTAAGCGGGCTGGTGTACTTGGGACGGGCCCTACTACCGTCATAAACAAGTTTAATCAGGTTATAGGCGTCCACAAGACACCTGCCCACAGAATTTGCCAAAAGTAAAGTCCAATTAGAGGGTTTGAGTTTCCCAATGTGTTCACGAACTTGCGGGTCCAAAATTTTTGAAAATTGATAGTGACCATAAGTTGACAAAATGTCTTGTTGAATTGCGGGAGAAAGGTCTGAAGCTGACCGCCATGTTGCAGTGCGGGGAGGTAACGGCAAAGCCTTACCCTTTTTCCCTTTCCTCCCTTTCCCTTTCCCAGCCTTTCTAGGATTCAAAATTGAATCTCTAGAAGTATTCGAAGCGTCCGATTCCTCGTCAGAAGAGGTAGACGAGTTGGACGGGGTAGTTTTGCGGTGCTTTTTGCTTTTGCTTTTGATTTTTCAATTGTTTCGCAGTGGAAGCTATTAAAGTTCCACCACTTGTTTGGAACACGCTGGGCCGTTATAGTTTTGAGGGAAGATAGAAATATTTTACGTAAGTGCTAGAGAGTGCTAGAATTATTATAATATTAGGACAGATGTCCAGTATAAAGAGGTGAGGTTCAGAGTAGGATATTGTCCAGTATCCAATTCAGTGTAAGGTGCCTGTTGTAATAATGTCCTGTCAGTTCCTTTTTAGTTAGACTCAGTTTAGTGATGTTTATTTAGTTTAGTTTAGTGATGTTTTATTTAGTTTAGTGATGTTATCCGAGTTGTGGTAGTTAGTGTAGTTTTCGATAATACATTTTAACTGTTTCAGTAGAAAAATATTTGGTTTTCCTACTTTTAGTTTTATTAATTAAATTAATTTTTGATTAAATGAATACCGTTTTAGTGGAGATATTCGTTTGCCTCCAATTTTAGTATGTAAATAGCCCGTTTTAGTAAAAAACTACGTTTGTACCTAATTTTAGTTCATAATTAATACCGTTTATATGGAAATATTCGTTTTTTCCAATTTTTTGTTTAAAATTATTCCCGTTTTAGTGGAAATATTCTATTCCCCCAACATTTATTTGGTTTTAGTAGAAAGATGCGTATTCCCCTAATTATAGTTTATAATTAATACCGTTTTAGTAGAAATATTCATTACCCCCCTAATTTTAGTTTATAAATAATACCGTTTTAGTGGAAATATTCGTTTTCCTCCCATTTATAGATAAAATTAATACCGTTTTAGTGGAGATATTCGTTTGCCCCCAATTTTAGTTGTAGATTTTAGTAAAAATATACGTTTGTCCCTACGTTTGCCCGTTTTAGTAAAAATATACGTTTGTCCCTAATTTCAGTTCACAATTAATACCGTTTATATCGAAATTTTCGCTTTTTCCAATTTTTTGTTTATTATTATTACCGTTTTAGTGGAAATATTCTATTCCCCCTTTTTTTGGATTTTTGGTTTGGTTTAAGTAGAAAGATGCGTATTCCCCTAATTATAGTTTATAATTACCGTTTTAGTAGAAATATCTGTCCCCCCCCCCCCCGTCTAAAACTTACATATACCTTGTTTCTATGATTTAGTGTTATCGTTTTATACATAAATAATTTAAATTTTTATTATTTTTATTAGTACCGACATTATGGTAGCTGATTACGTCATAATAACTTAGGGAGCTGTGAGAGCTTCAGTCCAACCTTCGACTGATTTAGGGTGAACACGTAAGGGAGTATCTCCCTGATCTAAGGGTTTGGGTTATGGCTGCGATAGTATTTGGTGCTAGCAATAAGGACCGATCACCGATTGGTAAATCGGTCAGCTGTCTTCTCTAATGCTGCTCTGTGAGTTTAACCTTTGGGTAAGACCATAATAGTAAGAACTACTGTGTGTATGTATGAAAGTATGTATGTGTGTGTATGTATATGGGTGGGTTCATACATTTATGTGTGTCTATCGATGTATATATGTATGGCTGTATCTATGTGTGTATATGTTTGTGTGCATATGTACATGTGTGTCTTTCTCCGTAGAACCCTCAAACAGCTGACACGACACCGACCAACAATAAAGAGGACATTATCCCTACACCATGCCCCAATATTAAAATAAACGACAGGACACCAAGCAACGAGGGAAGTAAAGAGGGATTTGTCTCCACACTATGCCCCGAAAGAAAAAATAGGGGGACAAGAAAAAGGCGCGGAAGTAACTTTCGCAGGGCTGCAAAGCAGCAACGAGAATATAGGCTGTCGATTGCCGCCTTCTTGAAAGACGAAGGGTCAGCATCGTAAATTGATGTTCTGTAAAATTAGGTTTTGAAATATAATAGTGCTCCAAGAATCTGTTTTTTAATGAATATTTTTTACTCGTTTCTTTAAATTTGTCTCTTCCAAACTCAGAACAACAATCATAAAACACCTGACAATTTTGTCAACCAATCGGCTTGCATTTAAGAATCACATAAAAATCTTCTTAAATTTTACTCAAAACGCATATTTTCTATTGTTTCCACTTTTCACCATTTTACCGCAACTTACGTCATACATGTGATGCACTTTAGTTTTTTAATTTGCACATGTTATAAATTCTCTTTTCTCGTTTAACAAAGCTATGGTAAGGTTAACTTTATCTTCTTTTGATTTAGTATTACTTATTTTAATGAATAACAGCTCATAATTTTCGTATTTTATATTTTTTGTTTTGAAATTATTACTTAGCCATGTACTTAGCCTTATACTAGGACTCAATTATATATGTTTGGCTTTGACTTAGTATTATCTGCCTATTTACATAACATAAATTCTTGTAAGTACAATGACTTCATATTATTATGTTCGAGTACTGAGTAGGTTATTAGGTTTTATATATATATATATTTTTTCCCCTTAAGGGTACATGTGTCGCGTTGTATTTGTATGGGTCATCTCAGATTTTAGCTTTCGTCTAATTAATTCCCAACACTTTTGAAGTCTGTGGTTGAACGTTGAAAATAGTCTACCACGATTTGTACTAAAAAAAAATTAGTTACCAACAATGAAATAGCAACCATTTTCGTGACGGCTTTTGATGTCTGTGGTTGAACGTCTGCATTCGAATTGAGGCTGGACGACACCGTTGAGGAGGTCGAAGCTCAGGCACCTGTTGCAATGGAGGTCGAGGAGGTGGAGGCTGCGATGCTGATGGAGGTCGAGCCTCGACAAGCACCAGAGGCTCAAGTGCAAGAACCAGTGGTTGGGCCAGCTCGCTTTCATAATGTTGTTGAAGTCCGGAACTACACCAGATATGAAATGGAAGGCTCCCCAACTATCTGGTTCGACGAGTTCCAAAAAGCGTATGTGCTGTCGAAGAATGGCACAGACGCTCGACCAACGACTTATCCAAAGTGCCATCGCTACACGGTGAAAAGAAGTAATTTTTAATTGTTTAATAGGATACTTTTTTAACTCGTGAAAATATTCACGATCTTAGAATTATTATCATTACCATTATCATGATTGTATCTTAACATTTAACGGGATCCCCATTTAACCCTGTTAGGTTTATGTGGTGGTACTGCAAGGATTAAGGACGATACCCTGTACCTGGGGAAGGATCACTCATGTGGCGACATGAGTGATGAGTACCTTATTTTGCAGGCCAAGGCACGGATGAAATTTCGAGCTGGTAATATTTGTTTTTGAATTTTTTATTAAGCCATATTTCGACTGAAAACATATGTCTGCCAATGTGAATAATCGAATTTTAACATTTTTAACTTAATTAAAATCTTTAATTAAAAATTCATTTTATTCTAGGGCAAACTACCGAACCGCTGAGGGACATTTGGAACTCTGTCCTTAGCCAGTCGACTGAGACCGTGAAGAAAATTCTCAAGTTCGAGGCTGCCGAGTCCATCATGAGGAATAAGCGGAGGAAGAACCTGCCTCCGATTCCCAAGAATCTGGCAGAAATGAAGGAAGCTCTCGACAATGGACATCTGTTTGAAGACATCTACCAAGGTTTCGTCGAATTCGAAGATGGGAAGGTCGGATTCATTTTTGCAGACCCAAAACTTCTCGCTCTCGTTGAAAGTGAGTACACTGCTTTAATTTGCGAGTTGTTTTGATACTATGTTCTATCAAATTTATCATTTTGGGTAATTTTAAATTGTTTTAAAGGGGTTAGATACAACAACTTTTTTATCTTTGTACAATTACTTTTAAGCAAATTTATAATTTTGGGTATTTGTTTCAGAGACTCAAGAACTCTTCGTCGATGCCACCTTTAAAACACGGCCTCACCACGATATCTTTTCTCAACTGTTGAACATCATTGTCATCTACAAAGATTACTCTGTCGCGGTGATGCATGTCTTAATAACATGCAAGGAGCAAGCACTCTACGGCCAGATCATGGAGCGGTTCAAAGCTTTGGTTGGATCGGACTTCAAGCCAAAAAGTGTGATGTCGGACTACGAACGGGCGATCCTGAACACCATGCAAACTGCCTTTCCGGAATCGAGAGTGTCTGGATGCAGATTTCACTTCAGCCAAGCAGGTAAATAATATTTTAACCATTTAATTGATTTTTAACACGTTATGTATCTTTGTTATTTACTTCTTTTTAGTTCGCCGGACAGTGTGTGCTCGCTACAAGGAGGATTTCTATAAAAATGTTGAGTTTAGGAATCTGATGCTCAAACACATGGCCCTAAGCACTCTACCGGCGAACCAAATGGTACCGGTATTCCAACAGCTGAAGCAAGAAGTGCTCCACTTACAACCACTCAGGCTCCGGAAGCAAGTCCAGATAATGCACAGGAATTACTTCTTAAAGTGGTGGTTCCAAGGCATCGGGCCCCAGCTGATCTCTACGTACGGTCTTGCACATAAGAACAACAACGTCTGCGAAAGTCTCCATAAGAAGTGAGTTATTTCTTAACAATATTTTTGAGTTAACAATGTGAAAATATTCACGATCTGGTTATTTTTGTTGTTCATTATTTATAACTTTTCCCAAATTTTTCAGAATGTCTTTGAAGCTGGCAAAGGCGTCGACAATCTGGAGATTCCTCTCAGATCTGAGGATGTTCGTCATCGAGCCAGCAAAGATCGATGTCCTACAGTTGGACAACAACATCAGGATTCGGAGGAACATCAAATTATCGAACCAGGTAGCGGCCAGAACTGTGAAGAATCAGGAGGAGCGACTGGCCAATGGGGAAATCACCCCCATTCAACACCTCCATTTTATGGCCCACAGAGTGCCCACTCCGGTTCTTCCGAATGACCAAGATCAGGATGAGGCCGATGCAGAGCTGGCAGCAGAAATGGCCGCCGATGATGAGGATGGCGACGACGAAGTCTTTGACGAGTAAGTATACCAATTATAATTTCAATCATTTTCTAGTAATTTCTATTTATAATACGATGTTGATTAATTTCATATGAAACTTATCTTTAAAATGTGTTCATTAATAACTTATCTTTAAAATGTGTTCAATACTTTCAGACACGGAGATGATGACGCATTCCTGGCAGCCGCAGGGCCACAGGCAGATGGACAACAGCAACCGGGTCACGCCGCCGCAGGTCCCGCCGCCGCAGGTCCAGCAGCAGAACCGTGTTGCATTTGCATGGCGAGCTCCAAGGACACAATACTACTGCCGTGCGGGCATGTCTGCGTGTGTTCAACATGTGCAGCCCTTCTCGAAGCCCAAGGACTTGACGATGAACCCGAGGGCGTCTATTTGTGCCCCGTATGTAGGACACGGGTTACTTCGCGACATCGGCTGTTCTACGCCTGAAAAAATTGACTGGAAATGGCTTTCTATTTCCTATTATTTTTACATCTACTTTCATTTTTCATGTATTTTTCTTATAAATTGACTAAATAAACAGATTGTACCTTTGATAACACTTTTATGATTTCCCGAGTTTTGTACATTTTGTACCGCGGGTGAAGAAGAAACTTTTGTAGGCTAACCCCTTGGAGGTCTCTGTAAAATACTTCATTTTTTGGAACCTCTTTGGGGTTCCTGTCTAGTGGTTATAGTACTCACTACTCACCCGGACGACCGGGGTTCGAGTCCTGACAGGGATTCGAAATTTAGGTTTTGTTTTTTGTTTAAAAAAACATTCATAAAGAGAGAGAGAGAAATGCCTTAAGGGACTAAGGGAATTAATGGGTCAAGATAAACTGGTCAGCTGATTTGTACAAACTCCCCCCAGCGAAAAATAGGCCGTTTCACAAGCGGTTGATCTGTTTTTGTTATTTTTCAAAACACTGTGCTCAATCTGGGGGGAGTTATTCGTAACTCATATTTACTTTGGACAACTGATAAGATGCTAACGCTAAATGTACGCCAGTTTATCCGCGTTATTCAGATGAACAGTTAACTATTTGTAGTTGAAGCTAAATTTTTTCACCATGAATATCTTTGGTCTTTGGCATTTGGTCTTTGGCCAGTCATAAATACTACAGAAACAACAAGCATTGCACCGGACCCACTATTTGAAGACCTCCTGATTCAGGACAGGTTTGAAGTTGAAAAAGGACTGAACAACTTCACTACAGCTAACAGGCTTGAGATGGGACCCCTTGAGATCTGGCTTCAAGTCGACAGAGTACAGAAGAAGATTGAAAGGAAATTATTATTCAAAAGACGTATAGTTGCCAGAAAAATCAGACAAAACCGAAGAAACAAATCAGAACTTCACAAATGGCTTCTATTAGAAAGAGGATTGAAGGACACCGCCAATAAGATAGTCGACAAAAGACGTATTGTCTCAAGAAAAGTCAGACAAATGCAAGCCGGAAGAAAATAAGTTGTTCGTAAGCATAATAAGTACAATAAATGATTCATAACCATGTTTCTTTTATTTGTCTTTTATCATTGTGATAAAGCCATTCATAAATTTTGCGATCTCAAGCTGGCATCGGCAGCAGAGTACGGCCCCATGATTGAAAGGTCCTGAGTTCGAATCCGATGCCAGGTCGAGATTGTTTTTATTTTTTTTGAGTAATAAGAAGAATCCATATTTTGAGATTGTGAGAATATTCACGACCTTTTTACATTAAAACTTACTAATAAGTACTCACTAAGAAATAAAGATTTGCTAAATGAACCATTTTGTAGAACAAATTTTAATAAATTTTGTATTAATTATAGAGCACCTTACCTTTGGAATAAAATAGTTCTGCCTAATTTTGATCCTTTTATCCGTTTTTCTGTTTTTAAAAATATTTAAATTATTAAAAAAATTAAAAAAATTCATTCTTGCTATGGATGACATTTTAAGTTACTATTAGCTTGAAGTATAAACTTGATTTATGAGATTTATAATAATATTTATATTAATAAATTTATTTTCTTTAATTTATATCAGATCTATAAAATTTATTATTATGGATTATTATAACAAATTTGTGAGAATTATTATTACAGATACATGATTAATATTATGAATTTATTATTATATATTTATTATTACGGCCGTTTTTGGATTTATATTTTCAGTTTTATGGTATGATAAAATTGTAAAGGTTCTGATGATAAGATGAGTAGATCTTCTTTCAGAAGCCTTGTTTTCTTTCTTGTAAAATATAGCATTTATTTTACGGCAAATGTAAACAGAAAAAAAAAAAAAAAAAAGTTGTTTAAGGAACATCAATTAGAGTTGAGTTTAATAGACTCAAATTAGCCTACTTGGTGGGGTAATATAGGTCTTAGTCACATTTTTGTTTTTTTTGATTGAAATACAAAATAAATATTTATATATATCTTTTTTATCTCTGACAGCTGTTTTCTAAATAATGTAGAGCTTTTTTTGCAATATGGCTTCCGAGTCATCTCGTACACAGTAAAAAATTTAATGCCAATTTTTTTTACTGCGTAAATTTTTATTTTATTTTATATATTTTTCAAATCGTTTTATTTCAAAACTAAAAAATGTGGAGAACAAGACAACTCTTTTTTTTTTTTTTTTTTTAGTATAACAATTCTTTACAATACATGCAATATAAATAAAAGATTAATGGAAGGGCTTCAAAAAGATCATATTACGAAATCTTGTACAATTTATAGCTTAAGCAATATTTAAATAATATAGTTTGTGAAGTTATATCAGAGCTGTAACCACAATATTGTATTAGGGGGGCTTATGGTTCTTTTTTTTTTTTTTTAATATATTTTGCTGTTTATATAAAAATAAAATAATAAAATTACAATTAAACTTTTACGTTACACAAAGAATATATATAAAACAGACAGGGGCTCAAAGAAGATAAGGATGACTGTTGCCACCACAATATTTTCATAGAGCCTCTTTACAATATCAGCCCACATGGCTTAAGTAAATCCCACATGGCTTTAGTAAATTTACAATAGAATATTTTATCTGTTAAATACTACGTGAAGAATAAAGAAAAACTCATATATACTTATATATATACATACATACATACATACTCATATATACTTATATACTCATACATACTCATATATACATACTCATATATACATATATACATACTCATATACATACTCATATATACATACATACATACTCATATATACATATATCCATAAAAACACACACATATACAAACATAGTTACATATACATATATGTCAGAAATTAAGGAGATGCAGTTTCATTTGTCGTTTAAAAGAGAAAGCCCTTTTCAAATTTTTTATATTGTTAATTTTTCAATTGATTCCATAATGACGGGCCTTGGCTAATAATTGAGAATTTCGACACTTGCGATTTTACTCTGCTCAAGTGATAGTTATGGTTGTTATTTGACCGAGGATTGTATTTTTGTGAAAATGCTGATGTAAAAATATCAGAAAACACTTTTGGCAGCAAGTTATTCTTTTATTTATACATAAATATTAATATTTGAAACGAATTAAGTTTTGATATATTTAAAACATTCATGTATTTCATTACAGGGGAAGAGTTTTCTAATCTCTTTAAATAGTTAACTGCTTTACATGCGTGGTTTTGTAGGCTCTGTAATCTTAATAACTTAGTTTTGTGTGTGTTAGACCAAGCAATATAAGGGTAAGAGAGATGACAATGAGCAAGACTGAAGTAAATCATTTTGCGTGATTTATAGTCAAAAAAAGGCCCAAGAATTATACAATACACTTATAGCAGAAGATATTTTTGCTTCAATGAGACTAATATGTTTTTTTCATGATAGGTTCTCATCAAGTATTACTCCCAAAAAATTTGAATAATTTACTCGATTTATTTCATTTTTATTGATTGACAGTTTGGCAACTTTAATGGTAGATAAGTTGATTGTCTTATTTTACGGAAGAGAGTATAACTTTTTTTTTCACAATTTAATGATAACTTATTAGCTATAAACCATTGGTTAAAACTTTCTAGTTCAGTGTTCATTGTTTCAAACAATATTTTTAGATCAGAATTGTTTTAGTATAAATTTGTATCGTCTGCATACATAATTGACGATATTTTATGAGAAGCTTTATTCATATCATTGATATATATTAAAAATAATAAAGGTACTAAAACTGATCCCTGTGGGACTCCGCAAACAATATCAAAAGCTCCTGACTCCTTCAGGACAACAAACTGTTTTCTATTAAAAAGATAACTTTTAACTCACTTATATGTTAGGCCTTTAATGCCGTAATGCATAAGCTTTGAAAGCAAAATTCCGTGATCAACAGAATCGAATGCCTTAGAGAGATCGATAAATACTCCCAGTACTTGTTCCCCTTTATCAAAGGACATAGATATTTTATTGGGAAGTTCAATAATAGCATGTTCAGTTGAGCAATATCTCTGAAATCCAAATTGGTTTTTGTATAAAACTGTATTTAATGTCATATAATCATAAATTCTATTAAAAATTACCCTTTCAAATATTTTTGAAAATACAGGGACTAGTGATATAGGACGGTAGTTGCAAACAGAAGAACAATCTCTATTTTTAAAAACTGGATGAATTTTGGTTGGATTTAATTTATCAGGAAATATACTATTCTCAAATGAAAATGCTATTAAATAAAATAATGGTTTACTTATACTATCCATGACATAGATAGCTGCATTACTGGCAATGTCGTCATATAGCAGTGGCTGCATTACTGGTAATGTCATAGCTACATTACTGGTAATGTCGTCATATCCACATGACTTGTTACGCTTTAGTTCAAATAGCGCTTTGTTAAATTCGTGTTTATTTATTTTTTCATTAGATATGCTAGTCGCGGTTTTCTCTCTTAAGCATTAATCAAACACTTTAGTTGACTGAACAATGTTAGATGCAAGAGAAGCGCCCACATTAACAAAATATTTTTTAAATAATTGACATATATTTTTTTCACTTGTTATAGTTTTGTTGTTAATAATTACTTTTTTTGGAAAGCAAGAGAGTTTTTTTTTCTCTCTTCCAGTTACTTCATTTATAATAGACCAGGTTTTCTTAATATCAAACTTATTTTTATTGAGCTGGTTAGATTAGTATTTTATTTTAGCTTGTCTTAAGTTATTTCGATAAAACATTTTATATGATTTGAACGGATTTTCGTCATTTTCCTTTTTAAATTTTAGAAATTTTATATAAAGCATTTGTTTTCTTTTTGATGATTTCATCAAATTATTTGTCATCCATGGGTTTTTAAGTTGTTTGTTTTTTTATTTCAGGAGGGGTGGGATAAAATATTTTAAATGAGAGATGTGATAAAATCTTTGTCAAAAATATTTTACATATATGTTTTTCCCTAATAATAATAATTTAAATTTTTTTTTTTTTTTGGGGGGGGGGGGAGGGTACCAAGGTACCCCCGGGCTCTTCGGTGGTTACGGCTCTGTATATACATACAAACATATATACATACATACTTATATACATACATACGTATATACTGTATCAACATACATACGTATATACAATTGCATTAATACATTAAAAACAAAAATAAAAAGGCTTACATGTTAGCTGAATCAAACAAATTAGGACGATAATGAAGGTAAAACAATATATACAGTAGTATGATCCCCACCTTTTCATTGTTATTGCGTTTCAATAAATTTAGAACATGTAAAAATTTTAGAATTTCCAAGGAACAGTTTTATAAAATTAAGCTCGAATGGGTCAAATCGGAAGAAAAAATTATTTTCGCCTTTTTAGTCTGTTTGAATAAAAGGTGCATTTTAAAAAAAATAATTTTAATAATTATCATTCTATTAATAATTTATTCTTATTGTTAAATAGAAGTTTAAGTAACTTTTTTTTTACTTCTAATAAAAGTTGTATAAATAAATACTTTAATGCTTGCAAGATGATAAATAAAAGTTTTATAAATGTTTCTTTTATGGGCTTTTTTTAGTTTTGTTTAATAACTTTGTATAAAAAAGCAAATTTATCGTTAACTATAAACAAATCGTTAACTATAGCGCACTTGCCTCAGAAATGTAAGCTCCGTGGTTCAAAACCCACCTCTGGGCAAGTTTTGCGACATCGTCGGGAAGGAGGCGTGAACTTCCTATTAAATGCTCTTCCGCGGTGCTCTGTGATAAGACTGTAAGGACTTCTTGGGGCACCTTAATCAACTTAAAAAAAAAAAATTTTTGCTTTTTGTTACTATATACTTCGATAAAAGGTTTGGCTTAATAAAAACTAGGTTATCTTTGTTTTTAATTTTATCTCATTTGTAAATAGCGCGCATAATCAACATAATTATAATTAAAACTTTGGTATCAAACTTTTTTACATAATCGCCATTAATTGTTACAAAAGACGTCTCATTGTAAAATTTTTTAGGTTGGGACTAAAAATTCCAACTGAGTGTCGGAAAAAAATTGAAACAATAATACACTTGCCTATATGCCAGAAAGCTAGAAAGCAAATAATGGGATTTCTTTTGTTTATACTGACCAGTAAATCAAGTATTTACTATATTATATTAAAATGCCTTTCAAAAGTCCAAATTTAAATTTACTTTATACTAATAATAATTATAATATATACAATTATAATTATAAAATAATTAAGTAATAGTAATTTACTAGTTTATTATAATAATATAGTAATATATTTTTAAGATTAAAATTATCAAGATATAGATGCTTTATAAATTTTTAATAATTTCTTTTAATTTTGATTTGCCGTTTAGAGAAAAGATTGCTGAGTTAAAAAGGAATAGAAATATTGTGATTTGCATTTTTGTTTATTTTTTTACTTTAAGTAAAAAAATAGACAAAAATGTAAATTTACTTTTTAATGTTGTAAAAATTTATTTTATCTAGTTTATTGTTCTTGCTTTGCCCAGGAAAAAAATTCTATAGAATTTCTATAAACTTTTGAAACATATGGCCTATAGAAATTCTACAGAATTTCTATAGAATGTCTATTAATTTTTATAGAAATTGCTATAAAAATTTTTTTTCTATAGAAAAAAAAGTTGAAAAAAATTTCTATAAAAATTTAAACAGAAATTAACTGGGATTCTATAGAAATTCTATAGAATTCTATAGAATTTCAATAAGCCAAATGTTTCAAAAGTTTATAGAAATTCTATAGAACTTTTTTTCCTGTGTGGAAATGGCTCTGCATTTTGCAATTTTATTTTTTATTATTTTTTTATTATTTAGGTGCCCCAAGAAGACCTAACGGTCTTGTCACAGAGCACCGCGGAAGTGCATTTAACCAGGAAGTTCACGCAGCCGTGGCGCAGTGGTTAGAGTTCTGGCTAAGAACTCTGAGGTCCGAGGTTCGATGCCAGCTCTAGCCCAACAAGCGACATTGGTACGGAAGGAGGCGTGAGCTTCCTGTTAAATGCTCACCCGCGGTGCTCTATGATAAGACCGTAAGGACTTCTGGGAGCACCTAAATACATACAAAAAAAAAAAAAACGCCAACTTCCTTACCGTGACGCAAAAATATGTTCAGAGATTGTTTCGAACCTGGACCTCCTGCTTATAAAGCAAGCGCTGTAGCCACTGCGCCACGGCCGCACAAAAATTTTATTCTAAGTATTGCATTTTGGCTTCTTTTATTTAGCGTGGTTGTTGTTAAAAACCAATTTAACCAAAATAAAAGTTATTTCTGGAAATAACCAACTGAAATAACTGTTGTCTGGAACAGACTAACTGAAATTAGTTCATTCCCGACAATAGTTTTATGAATAGCTATTAATAAATAATCAACTACAAAAAAATTAATTTTAATTTCAGTAAAAGTGGTTGTTAGCAACGGCCACGCTGAGAAAGAGAAGAGAAAAGCAGCAGCATAGCTACAAATATGTCCGGCTCCTTTACGGTAAACTTTTATCAAGGCCAGTTACCTTTTTCCTCCCGACAAAAGAATAAATACTAAAACAAAAAAATCAAAAAAAAAAATTCCTCTTTAAAGTTCAAATCAATTGCAAGATTCCAGGACAACTGATAACCCACAAACAATTTGTGAAAAGCCAAACTAGCGTTTAAAAAAAAAATTACTAGTCAATTCTAAAGCACTATTTTAATTGAATAAAATTTTGTTTTTCTAATGTGTGGGTGCCCACAATCTATAGTAGAAGATTGACCTGCTTTCCTTACCATATATTTTAAAATTAATTATATATGATAAAACGCAATAAAATATTTTATCTGATAAACACTCCTTTTAACATATAGATTATATCAGATAGATGAAAATTATTAGTCATTTAAATGACTAATAATTTTTTGAAAACTGTTTTAGCAGTCGATGTCCTTGCGGACACCAAAAATGTGGTATTGCGTCATATTACCATAACAAAATATCTGATTGAAAAGGCGAATGCAAAGATAAAAAACCTACAGAAAAAGTGCGTTCTAACGAACAGTCAAAGTTTGCATTCATGGGTAGCATCCAGTAGCGTAGCAAGAAATTATGCCCGCTTCTCTCCCACCTCCACCAAAGTTTCATTATGGCCACTAACCCATTTCTTCTCAACAAAAAAAGAAATAAAAGATCAAAGATTATTTAGCAATTCCTAATAGCACTATGGCACTCGTGCGGCAGGGAGCCCGTGTCTACTCTATTGGTATACCCGGATGTTGACTATATTTGCCGCTAATTATAATAGAATTACCCTTTACGATATACGTGAAAAAAAATCCTTTTACAATGCAACACAAATACTGTCCACACACATGAGAGTTTTACCTGAAGTATTACCCAGAAGTGCCCACAAACAGGCAATGCATTTAAACACGCTATCTATACCAAAATTCTTGTTAAATCAACATGAAATGACTGCTCTTTGAGAATGTAAATAATATAACTTAAATTTTATTTAGTTACAAAGTAAAGTATAAAATTTCAAAGACAAAATTTACTTTTATTTGTGATTGTAAATAACAATTTTTTTCAAGTCACTTCTATGTAAGCTGCTTTTGCTAATTAGTTACTGCAAGGACGTAAAATAAGATTTTACGTCCTTGGTTACTTATACTTGGTTACGTCCTTGGTTACTTATTTTACGTCCTTGGTTACTGTTACACGTAAAAGTAATTAGGTTTTATGATGTAGTTTTATTTTACTTTGTAAAATAAGTGTTTTTTAAATATTTTATTTACGTAAGTTTACTTTATAAATAACTTTTTTTACGTTTAAAAAATAAATCACATTTTGATGTAAAAATTTTACAAAGTTATAACCAAAAATACTTTACAAAGTAAATTACTTTACACGACTTACCATTAAAAGTAAGTTACATTTGCAAGTAAAAGTAAAAATAAGTTATTTTTTTGAGTAACAGTTACTCATTTAAAAAACTAAACTTAAGTAATAAAGTTTTACAGGTCATATAAATTATGTAAAAAAAAAAAAAAAGAATTACTTATAAATGTAAGTAAATTATATATTTTAATATATGTTATGTAAAGTAATTTACACTTAAAAGTAATTGCGTTTTTACATCAAAATAAGTAAAAAAGCCATTCCTATTTAAAACTAAAATTTAAAACAAATTTAAAAACAAATTTATTAGTTTAATTTTATATTTATTTTAAATTTTATTTATTAAGATTAAATTTAATATTTCTAATCTTTAGAAATAGACAAAAGATTTCTGGTGTAAAAAATAATTACTTTTAACTTTTGTTAGAAATAATTATAAGTCAAATTAATA